ACCCCAGCCCCACGCCCCAGCCCCTCCCTGCCGTGACCAGGCGTTGATTGTCTAGCCAAACCGGGCTACAGTCTTCGGTTTAAAAAGGGGACCCCCGGCCTCCCTGCTCCGGAGGAGCTTCAGTCACAGAAGCGCTTGCGGGGCACCGTCCGAGCTCGGTTCGAGCGGCGGATCTCCTGCTTGGCATCGCGGCATCGCTGGCAGATGAAAACCTCAGGCACGTTGGATTTGCGGATCTTGGCACAGGAGAGGTGGATCCAGGTCGCGCACTCGTTACACTCGATCATGGGCCTCCCTGCGAAGGGCTTCAGGCAGAAGCAGGTGATCAGATCCCAGGCGTCGTCATCTGGCCAGGGAGAGAGAGACACGGGTCAGAAACCACCCCACCAGCCGCAGGTCCGGCCGTGGCCAGACCACCCAGTTGAACTGGTGTGAGACGGGAGAGCCCCCCACTCACCTTCTGCTTTGGTGTTGGGAGCTGCTGCGAATTCCGCTGCTAAAGGTGCAAAAGGAAAGGGGGGGAAAAAAGAAAAGAAATAAAGACCAGATGAACAAGGCGTCTCTACACCCCACTTCAGACACTTTTCGGCTCGGCACCACTCGCTCTGCAGGACAGAGCTGCCCAAGGACAGGCCACTCCCGCCCTCCAGGGTCCCAAAGGTACTCCCCTCCTCGGAGAGGCTTCAGCCATTGCCAAGCCATCCCCGCAGCCAGCACTGGTGGCTCCAGCTGACAGAGGGACAACCTGGTGGCAGCACAGCAGGGCCGTCTGCACTCCCTCGGACACTCACCGCTCAGCTGAGAGCTCCCTCTGCTCGCGTCTTCCCCTTCGCTTTGGTCCAAGGTACTACAAGAACCGGGGCTTTTCCTCCCTCCAGAGCACGGGTCATGCTCCTTTAGCTGAGGATCATCTCCTGCTGGCTTCTCTGTCCCCTGCGCCCTGTGCACCCAGTCCTTCTCCTCCTTCATCAGCTCCTCCAGGAGGGAGCTGGGCTGGGGGTCCGCAGCCGGGCTGGGGGAAGGCTCCAGGAGCTGCTCCTTCCCGGGAGGCACCGGTGCCTCCAGCGCAGCCAGCTCCTTCACCCCGTCCTGCCCTGCCCCGAAGCCCTTCCCAGCGCCCAGTGGCACCCTCTTCTCCATCTCCTGCTCCAAAAGGAGTTTCTTTGCGGGTGGTTTCTTCCGCTTGGTTTGCTGGGGCCGGACATCGTAGAAGGCGGTGGGGAAGGCAGAGCAGCTCAGGAGCAGGCTGGTGTCCGCAGCCCCCCTGGCCACCGCGTTCCGGCTCCTCCTGTCATCTGTCAGGATGTGGCAGTCGGAGGAGTGGGACGAGGCCCAGCTGTCGCTGTCCTGAGTGCTCCCCGTGCTGTTCTGGGGGCTCATGCTGCCGCCGTGGGGCCAGGGCTCATTCTGCAAAACGGGAACGGGCACAACTAGCACCTGAGAGCGCAGCACGGGCACTGGGGCCAGGGAGGAGAGGATGGGGATGGAGAACGACTCTCCAGCAGAAGACTCAGGAGCTGGGTTGGCACATAGCAGGGAGTGCTGGGGAACCCGTCTTTTTGCAGAGGAACCCCCACGAGCCCACTCACCTCCTCGGGGTATGGGATGTAGCCTGCGTAGGCCAGAACAAAGGTGCAGAACTGGTTGAAGTCCTCCACGGTTC